TAAACCCTAGGCCCTAAACCCTAAACCCTAAACCCTAAACCCTCCTTCTTTACCCATTTTTCTCTGTCCGCAGCCTTCTCTGGCGAAGTTAAGTTCTCCATCTTCTTCAAACAAAAATAAACCCTTAAGAGATAAAGGCAACCACCAGGGCCCCCTACACTGCTGGGGGGCCCCCCGGGGGCTCCTGAGGGTACTAGGGGGCCCCCGGGGGCCCCTAAGGGTACTAAACGGCCCTGGGGGGCCCCCCAGCAGCAGTGGGGGCCCTTGTGGCAGCAAAGGGGCCTGAGGGGCCCCTTAAATTAAACAGGGGGCCCCTAAGGGGGCCCTTAGGGGCCTTGGGGGGCCCCTATGGGGGCCCCTAAGACGGCCCTTGGGGGGCCCTGGGGGGGGGCCCCTGGGATAGGGGGGCCCCTACGGGGGCCCTTGGGGGGCCCTAGGGTGAGGTGAGGCTGAGTTTGGGCCTCGTGGGGGCCCTTAAACCCTAAACCCTAAACCCTAAACCCTCAGCTCTAGGGCCTCTGGTGAAGCAGATGAACAAGAAATGGAAGGGCTTCAAAGGCAAAACGAAACAAGCGCCCTGAACCTTAAACCCCAAACCCTAAACCCTAAACCCTAAACCATAGAGTGCAAACAAACTACAATTCTGACTAGGAAAAGAACTGAAGGTATCTCGTTCGCAACCCTAGTTTAGGGTTTAGGGTTTAGGGTTGAGTCTTCTGGCGAAGCGGGCCCCCAGGGGCCCCCAAAGGCTACGCCCTACTGCATTGTACAGCCAAATCTCCTTCATTATAATAAAAATTAAAATAAAATTAAAAAATAAAATAAAAATAGAAAAAAATAAAAATAAAAATAAAAATAATGGAACAGTTTGATGTCAACTGTGTTTCATGGCTGTTGTTGGGTGACCTTGGCTTACTGAAACTACACCCTAAACCCTGAACGCCAAACCCTAAACCCTAAACCCTAAACCCTAAACCCTAAAAAACTGCACGCCCTAAAACATAAATCCAAAGCTTTAAATCCTGGGCTCGTACCATCTAAGGCGTACTCTAAACCCTAAACTCTGAATGGGAAGCAGTACTCTAAACCTAAACCCTAAACCCTAAACCCTAAACCCTAGGCTCTGAGGAATGTTAGAGGTGCCTCCTGATGCCCCATCAAGTGTTTGGTGAAGAGCTGCCTGTGCTTGTTTTGTGTGTTGCTGCTGTTGCTGCTGCTGCTGTTGTTGTTGTTGCTGCTGCTGCTGCTGCTGCTATTGCTATTGTTGCTGCTGTTGCTGCTGCTGCTATTGCCACTGGTCACCCCCGGTTTGGGGTTTTAGGGTTTAGGGTTTAGGGTTTTCTCTAGGGTTATTAAAGGCCCTGTAGACCTGAGTAGAAACCCTTGGGGGTTTACGGGTCCTTTTGAAATGTAATAAGCCTAGAACAAACTATTTGCTGCTGCTGCTGCCGCCGTTGCTGTTGCTGCTGCTGCTGCCGTTGTTGCTGCTGCTGCCGTTGTTGCTGTTGCGACTGCTGCTGCAGCCGAAGTATCCGCTGCTGCTGCAGCAGCAGCAGCAGCAGCTGCAACAAAAGCAAAAGTAGCTGCCGCAGCAGCTCGAAGACCGCAGCAGCTGCAGCAACAGCAGCAGCAGAAAGGCAGCAAGACATGAAATCTACGGAGGCTGTGGCAAAGCAAGGCAGAAATATATTAAAAGAAATGCAAATAAAATAAATAATTAAATAATTAAAATGAATAAAATAAATTTAAAAATAAAAAACCCAATTGAAGAAACGAATCAAAAACCCCTGCAGGCGATTTTAAAGGTGCGTCTACACAACAGATATAAAAGTGAAAAACAAATAAATAAAAACCAACGAATAAATGAATAAATAAATAAATAAATAAATAAATAAATAAATATATAAATAAATAAATAAGTAAATAAATAAATAAATAAATAAATAATAGTTTATCAGAAATAAATTAAATATAGTTACTAAATGTGCAGCAGGAGCTCCTGCGCTGTTTTCATTTTCAAAAAAATAAATAAAACAAAAAATAATTTAATTAAATTCTCATTTCCTATTAGGGGCCTGGGGGCCCCTCTTTGGGTTCAGTACCCTCTTGGGAAACCTCGTTTTGGGGGCCCCCTAAGCAGGGGCCCCCCAGACGGGGGCCCCCTAGAGAGGGGCCCCCTAAATGGGGGCCCCCCGAAGGGGGGCCTCCCAAAGCAGCCTTTTAAGGGGCCCTCTCAAGAGGGCCCCCCATGGGGGCCCCTCCAGGGGCCTCCAAAGGGGGCCCCTTCTAAAGGGTACCCGAAGGGGGCCCCCTCCAAAGGGGGCCCCTCTTAAAGGGAAACCCCCTAAGGGGCCCCCACTAAGAAGCCTTTGAATGGGGCCCCTTTAGAAAGCCCGTCTCTTAGGGGGCCCCGTTGAGGGGCCCCCTCGAAGGCCCTCCTCAAGGGTACCCTTTTCTTGGGGGTCTCAATGGGGGGCCCCCTAGGGGGCCCCCATGGGGGGCCCCCTGGGGGCCCCCTGTACAAGGTTTTGTGTCTTTGAAAGAATTCAAATTATTAAAAAAAAATTTTGTGACTGCATGCATTTTTCCAAATTGTGCACTACACAAAGCAACAGACCTAAACCAGAATTGATTTGCTTTTATTTATTATTAATTAATTAATCAATTAACTATTAATTAATTAATTAACAATTAATAAATTAACTATTAATTAATTAATTAACAATTAATTAATTATTATTTATTTATTTATTTATTTACTTATTTATTTACTTATTCATTACAAGGCGAGCAGCTCAGCAGCAAAAGCGGCGCCGCGCTGGTGTTACATAAAAGAAAATCAAAAGGCGCATTTGGATTAATTCAAATGAAGACTAAATAAAATAAATAAATAAATATTTTTAAATTTATTTATTTATTTATTTATATCATTTAAAGTCCCCCTGGCAAAGCTGCTGCAGCGGCTCTTCGCCATTCATCAGCAGCAGCACTAAAAAGCGCCGATTTGAAACTTCTGCTGCGCAGCTGTAGCCCAAAAGCCTCTCAAAGTCCCTGCTGCGGTGCCCTGCAGCAGCAGCAGCAGCAGCAGCAGCAGCAGTGGTTGTTTTGCGGGCGCACGAGCAGCAGCAGCAGCAGCAGCAGCAGCAGGAGCAGCAGCAGCAGTGGTTGTTTTGCGGGCGCACGAGCAGCAGCAGCAGCAGCAGCAGCAGGCGCAGCAGCAGCAGCAGCATGTGCAGCAGCAGCAGCTGCTGCTCTGCAAAGAAACAGACGTTAACCATGGCAGTAGCAGCAGCAGCAGCGACAACAAGACAAAAGCAGCAGCAGCAGCAGCAGCAGCGACAACAAGACATAAACAGCAGCAGCAGCAGCAGCAGCGACAACAAGACAAAAGCAGCAGCAGCAGCAGCAGCAGCAGGATCCTGCTTGGCTGCTGCTGCAAGTGAATTTCGAGCACTTTTTCGAGAAAGAAACAGCAAATGGATCAAAACAATCAGCCGAATGAAATTAGAAAGAAGATAAAAAAAATAAAGAATTAAATTGAATTAAACTGGAAATAAATAAAAATAAATAATTAAATTAAATCAAATCGATAAAACAAACCTTTAATGACCCGCAGCTCGCTGCTCGAAAAGCTGCAGATACACCGCGCGAGCTCTGCAGCTTCTTTGCTGCCTTTGGGCTTATAGCCAAACAAGTAAATGCTGACGCAATCGCCTGCTGCAAAAGAGCCCCTGACATCCTTAATTCCTGATTAAAAACAAACAAATAAATAAATAAATAAATAAATAAATTAATTAATTAATTATTAATTGCTAATTAGGTACTAATTGGCCTTTGAAAGCAGCGAAAAAGCAGCAAAAACGCAGCAGCAGCGGCCTCGCCAGCAGCAGCAGCAGCAGCAGCAACAGACAGCCAGCAGCAGCGCGCAGCAGCAGCAGCTGTCGAGGTACAAACAGGTAAAGCACGTGCAGAAGAAGCAGCAGCAGCAACAGGTGCACCGGCAGCAGCAGCAGCAGTTGCAGCAGCAGCAGCAGACGGTGCCAGAGCAACAGCAGCTGCAGCAGCAGCTGCTGCAGCACCGGCGGCCGCGGCAGCAGCTCCAGCAACAGCAGCCGCAGCCACAGCAGCAACAGCAGACGCAGCAGCAGGTGGGGCGTCTGGCGCAGCAGCACCAACCACAGCAGCAGCAACAGCAGCAGCAGCAGCAGCAGCAGCAGCAGCAGCAGGACCTGCAGCAAAAAGGCTTTTTTTGTTTCTAATGATGCTTTTGGCGCAGCCAAGATCTACATAAATTTCCCCCCCAATTGGCAGCGAAAGAATCCAGCGCTTCAGCAGCGCCACAGAGGGGCCCCTGGGGGCCCCCGTAGCAGCAAAAATGGTGCCTGAGCAGCAGCAGCAGCAGCAGCAGCAGCAGCAGCAGCAGCGGCATTAGGCGCAGCAGCAGCAGCCGCAGCAGCAGCAGCAGCTCTGGCGCAGCGCTACGGGCAGCAGATCCGCTGCTGTTGCAGCGCAAACTGCAGTTGTTGCTCTTGCTGCTGCAGCTGCTGCGGCAGAGGTAGGGAGAGCGCAGCAGCAGCAGCAGCAAGAACAGCAGCAGCAGCAGCAGCAACATGCCTGTAAATGGCGGCGGGGAAGTTTTCATTTCTTCCTCTGAGGGGACAGAAAAACGAATGGGCGGGGGGCGCTGCCAGACCTCTTGCTGCTGCTGCTGCTGCTGCTGCTGCTGCTGCTGCTGCTGCTGCTGCTGTTGCTGCTGCTGCTGCTCGGGGCCGTTTTGTTTGTGCGTGTATTCGCTGGCTGCGGACTTAGGAGGTGCAGCAGCAGCTGCTGCTGTCTCTGCTGCTGTTGCTGCTGCTGCTGCTGCTGCTCCCGCGTCAGCTGCGGGCGCTTCTCCATTTCGAGAGGCCAACTGTCCCGTCGAATTGTCGGCAGCAGCAGCAGCAGCAGCAGCAGCTCCTGCTGCTGCTGCTGGAGAAGCAGATCCCCCTTTGAAGTCCCTG